CGGAAATCAGCTGGAGCAGCCGTAAGTGTTTCCTCTACCATCTCGGAAATAAAAATAATGTAACTGGTTTCCTTGGATCAAGAAATACCTACAGCATTAATAGACGTCTGTTTTGTCACCCTCTGTGTAGACACCTGCTCGTGAAACAAAACTTTTTTCCGAAACGCAGAGCAAGAACGTCCCTCACAATATAACAGATGCACCATGCACACCACACAGCGTGGTCTTCTACAGAGGCTGCGGTTTTGATCTGCAAGACGCGTTATCAGGACTGTGCATCCGTTGAAAATGACCAAATCTAACAATACTTCTCCTGCTAAAGATTTCTTTATTTTGACCCCTTTCACAGTGAGGAATAGAAACTAAATCTAGTTTTCAAGGAACAAGCGATAGCGACAGAAATACATATGAGCCACGGTATTGGTTCATTTGCCTCAGTAGAAACGCGTTAACTGTTTTTATAATGGTTGCCTTCGTGATATGCTTTTGTGACGCACCTGTCTGCGTTAAGATATTCGATTGCATAAACTTACTAGTCATTGAGTAAACAGATCTTCAGATCAATAGATTAACGTTCTCGTTAATAAAACAGCGTGAGTCCGAAAAAGGGCAGATTGAATCGGGGTTTTCCAGATCATGTTATTGGCCAAAAATAGTCAAAGTTAAGCACTGATCATCTCACTAGTCTGAGACCATTCAAATGTTTCTCATTTAACGGAGTGTAGCATTCCTCGCAAAGCATTGGTAAAATACTGTCTTCATAATTTCATTTTTTCTTGCGCTGTGGCAGCTGAGCAATAGGCTGATTCAAGCGAAATGATCTAAGCATTGCGGCGACATCTGATTTGCATTACGTTTGCGAATAGTTGTCGACATTGACTTTCGCCATGTTATGTTGCGTAATGACTCTGGCTGTTCTTACACTTCTGGTCGGCGTTCAAGGCGAACCAAAGGTGAACGTGACCATATATATGGAAAGCTTGTGTCGGCACTGCACTGATTTTCTGCGAGGTCAGTTTTCGCCTTACTGGCTTTCTTTACAGTACAACGTCAATATCAAGCTGGTTCCTTATGGAAGGGCACGATACGTGAACAGCACGCTGCATTGTCGGCACGGACCAAATGAATGTGCGATTAACAAAATTATGGCATGTGCGATGAAGCACTTCCCAGGTTACAACGAGGTTGTGCCTTTCGTCCTGTGTCTTCAACAAAAATCGCCCGATATGATGGAGTCATGCTCTGAACCACTCGCGGTGGATCATGCCAAGCTTAAAACATGTGTTGAAGGCAAAGAAGGCGATTACCTTATGGAAGTATTGTATAAGGAAACGGCTAAACTGATTCGGAGGATCAAAGTTATCTCTCGCGTTCCTATTTTACTCTTCGACGACGACATTAAAATTGGTGGCGACGTGCCGTTCGGCGAGGAAGTGTGCAGGAGACTGCCGGAAACTATTCAGAAAGATAAATGCAATTGGTTCCATCTGAAGCGCAACGGGCAACGTCGTTCAACCTACATATTTTCCACCCTCGGTATAATCATCGTGATTGGTTTCAAAACTGCATCACTGCTCAGTTAAACCATTCTTTCGACTTACTAGCTAAAACTTTTCTTAGCTAATGACAAATTTTTTCAGTTTTGATGATAATTTTAACCATAAACTTTACATACTGATTTCGATAACTTTAAAATTTACTGACATGAGACCGTTATCTTGCAGTGCGGCCTTGCCAAGCTCGGATTAGACCATGCGCTGGTGCTCTTATATTTGACTGTCAGTGACTGTTTATTCCTTGCATTGAATCTTCTTATCTGAAAATCTGAAATTAGTTCCATCATTCGCTACCTGGCCACCTACCAGATACCTAGCAACTTGGCACGCTGGAAATTTACTCCATAAGTTTTTATTGCTTATTACTGAACACTTCATGTTTATTTGCAAAGTAATGTTATTATAATCGGTAGAACTTGCTGTGATAAAAGTCTTCAGTCAATAAAATGCTAAAAAAATCGTTGTCTGCTTTTTTAAAATGAATCTTATCAAAATTTCGCATTATATTTCAGTCGCAAGAATCACTTTTTTTGACAATTACTTATATGCAGTAGGACAGCCATTTGTTTGAACTAAGCAAAGTTGCGGCTTTTCTGCCACAACGTTACGCCAATTTTGGCTGCGACCTTGACTTACATTGATCATTTAGGGGAAACTTATAATCTAGAATTTGTTCCTAGCGTTTCTGGTCATAAGCTCTGATAAAAACTAACAAAAGATTTTTATTTTCTCGCGAAATCAAAAGTCTTTTATGAATATAGATAACACAGAGACGAATAATAATAAGATCTGCTAGGATTAAATGCCTACAATTTTTGGTGTAACCTCGCATAGGGAGAAAAAGCTGCTGACGTAATTTTTGGCAAGAAAGACTTACCGCGATGCATGTGACTTTTTGCAAAGATCTCTTCCATCTTCGGTGCTGATGGCTGAAACTTTCAAGGGATATGTTAGTAAGCTATCGACGTTCGTAGCCAACTCCACCCGACTCATTTGAACAGTTCCGTTGTTCCCTACTATATTCCCTGTTGAAGACGACACGTTGCTATCTCATAAAATTTCTAAGTTCGGCGTTGAAGAATATTGGCATAGGACGACGTTTTAATCTCAGCTGCAACTGCACCTGTGACTGTAGCTTCGGTAAACTTAACAATTTCATAAACAAAACGATGCAGCGTGTAAGAGAGAGTGAAATCGTACCTATGCAATTCTCAGTTTCATTCTCGTGCAAATATGAAATCCACTGCTTCAATGCATACATCGAAATCTCCATTACTAGTGCGCTTGACAAATAAATGACTCGTAACTCTATCATTTATGATTTTTCACATGATTTTGATTGGATCTATACTTCATTGTATCCTTTTTAAAGATCTCTCCAATTTGTCTGTCAAATCAAATATCTTTTATCTTTCCGGTCTGTTGCGAAAGTAGAAAGAAACCCTTTAACCTGCCCAATAACCTTCAGGCTCATCAGAGGTCAGTTTGTTTTTTGAAATCCAGAGACTCGTTTATTTATTTGCAAATGACTGTCAGTGAGTTCGGTAATTGCTTAAAACGTGTTGATGATATAATCATCGTGAAACCGATGGTAACTTACAAAGTTCTTCGTATCCTTCAAAATGACATAGATCAATTTTGCTGATTTTACTGAAAATTATTTGTTCCTCCGCCACAAGAACACTATTATCGAGTTATTATATAGCGAAAAACGTTCTTCTTTCACTGAAATAGTTAGCCGCATGTTCCTTTTCTGTAACAAAGAACGAACGCAAAATTAGCAAAGTCGCTTAAGGACAATATCTTAGTGTTGAGGTCTTGAATTCTCTTAATTGACATGGGCGTGTAAACTTCTAATGGTCTAAAATAAGGAGAGCCACCCTTCCTACTTTGAGGTATCAACGGCTTTGGGTCATTGCAGACGTTAAACAGACGTTGTTGCAGTGTTCTTCCATCATTTATCTCTGCCATTTCCCTCTCCCCAAAACTGACATTTCGGGCTGATTAGAACTGTCTTATCACTACTTCGAATATTTCGTTCATGCGCTGGTGGTCATTATGCAAAACGCAAAAGATAATACGGTAAATTCGGTGACTAATTAATAACGATCTTCCGGCCCCTGTCTCACGGGCATTCACAAAGGTAAGAGGATGGTAGAGTTAGTGAATTTCATTTCATATATGAAGAGTTCAAACTACATGCAGATTGTCCGCTATGCATCACTCATCGTTATTTACCATAATACGAGACTCCTGCGAAAAGAAAACATGAAACTGCTAGCCATCTTGGCCACATAGATGTAGTTATGGCATTTTACGACGGCACTCCTCACGAAGACATCGAACAGAGGTCTGCATCGGGAGTCGTAAGAAAGAGTGAGTTATGAATTACCCCTATTACAGTAACGAAAGAAAGCTACACCCCAGCTGCTTGATGATATGGCTATAAAATCAGCAGTAGCAAACCCACAATTTAACTTGCAATCTACGTTATAACACAATATTTTTAGAACGCGGTCACTCCGCATCTTCCGTCTTCAGGTGGAACCTGGCGGCAAATACGTGCCGGAGATATTAATTTTATCCCTAATCGTGTAGATTGGCTTTTGCTGAACTACTGCCATCAAGATAATACAAACGTTGTATAAACAAAATTTTATTATGTCCACTGCTTGAATATCTCGCGTTTCCTACTTTCAAATTTCGATAATATGGTGATAATTGAATGGATTGTGAACATCACTTGTATAATTAAATGATTAATTAATTGAAATTATAAATGAACTTCTAAGATGCAAATTAAAAGAAAATCGATAGATTTCGAAGCTCAAGACTGGCTTTGAGCAGTGCCTCCATGGGCTTTGCTCCAGACTAATTATCCATTGCATGAGCCCGAAGTTGGTACTTGTGCTGAAAACTATGGCCACGCACCGTATATCCGAGTAGTAAAAAAATACAGTGCAGGCAGGATTGCCAGTGTGAACATATGAGTTCTGAAAAGTTATGCAACGATCGAAACGATGGACCGATGGAAAAATTTATGACCTACTTGCATCGTAACGGCATCTCAAAAGTACGATCCCAGACGAGCCCTATGCTCCGCTACCCACATTCATTCACCTAGTCGACACAGACACGATAAGCTGATCAGAAGAATTTATTCAGCCCATTACGTTGATGAGCCAGGGATCCAAACCAAGTTGCAGAAGTTTGGGCTTTTATTTCTCCGGGTGGTTATCTTCTATGTTCGTTCTCTTTCGAATCCAAAGAGGCGATAAAGCAGCCACAATGATCCCCAAATGATGAGGTGCTTTCGTATGATTCAGAAGCCACAATTAGATTCCACGGATGATAGCTCACGTTTCCGACCGGCTGAACAATGGCAGCCGTTTTCCAGTCACTGGGTAGCTATGAATACCCAGTCAGGATTTTACAGTGATGGCTTCTCGACATATACCAATCGTTGCCCACTGAAATTAAGCAAATTATTTGTTTCTGCCGTGGCCTAT